TAATTTGTGCTAAAGTGCGGGGGTTGAGTGTGATTACTTCTCCCTTCACATAAGAGGTCAGACTGAACGGTTCCACTTGTTCCTCAGCAGATGTCAAGTGAAGGTAAAATAAATATACAAGACGGGGATATACCTTATGTGGTAAATTAGTTAAAGGTAACCATCCCATCATATCCAGTCTGCCAAGCAATAGTGGATCATATTGAGAATGTAGCTTTACATTTCTTCCTGTAACAATTGGTCGATTAGCAAAATTTGAATAAGCTTGTTCGTGATGATATGTGAGAAAATCAACAATTGGATAGTGATGATGTTGTTGCTGTGGTTGACGTTGTACAGGGTTAGAGGTTTCGCTACGTTCAGGCCTCTCTCTTTTTGTTCTCGGCATGATAATTGCAAAAGTTAAGAAAAATGTATAGTAAATGTATGATGTTGGTGTGAAAAAAAAAAGGAACAGATAGGCAAACTGAGCCTTTGCTAAAAAGCAACCAACAGATATCGAAATTGAGCGCAGAAGGCGAACTGGGGCTAAAACTGGATGACCGGCCGGTTGACTGGCGGGATGACCAACCGGTTGTCCCATATGGTGATTCTTCGCCTTCTTGCAACTCAGCTCCGAAGCTATTAAGAATATGAACTGTGGTTCAAACTAACTTCTTCTCTCTTCCTTCACACGGATATCTACACTGAATGTAGTTAATATTGTACGGTGAAGGAGTTGTTGAAGTTGTTGGAATGAGATGGTGAAGATGGTGTGGTTAAATGAAAGCATAGATAATGACTTATATAAAGGCTCAGGTTCAGAAAGTCCAGAAGGGGTTTTTTTTTTTTTTTTTTTTTTTATTTACTTTTCTTTTCTTGCTGATTATTTTTTTTTTCCTTATGTATTTTTAATTTTTGCTGTATACTCATTACTAACTATGTGTGCAGGTTTTGGCTCCTTCTTTCTTTTCCTTTATCACACCTGAGTGATGAACTAAATGAACTGACATGCTGTGGGTCAATTGGATGAGCGAAATTACAGTATTACCCTTTTCATTTTGTTCTTACACAACAACCTGCCATTCAAATCAAGAGGGGCGTATTGGTCATTTTGTACACAAATATCACTCTTGCCCCTAATTATATGACCTTCACGGGTGGGTGAGAGGTAGGTGACAATAATGCACCAACGAAAAGAAACGATTTTTTTATTAAATTAATAAAATTTAACAAATGAAAAAATATTGATAATGTTTAGCAATATTTACGTTTTGGTTTGTATTTAAAAATATTAAACACATTGATTTTTGTTAATTTTTATCAATATGTAATCTCCAAAGTTGATGACTTCAACAAAATTTTTGAAAAATATTAAAAAACGTATTGTACAAAATGTTTGTACAGGCTTTAAAAATTAATTGACAGAAAAATTAATTGACACAAAATAATTGACATAGAAATTATTTTTAAAAAAAATTATTTGAAAAAAAAATTATTCAAAAAAAATACTTAAAAACAATTAATTGAAAAAAAAATTATTTTTTTATTTGAGTATTTTAAAAATAATTTGGTTATGACTGTTGATCAAAAACACAGATATCGATATATGGGTTGTGTGTTTGATTATCAATTATAGGTTGAATTAAGTTTTGAAAACTATTTTGAAAATTCATCACCAAACAAATTTTCCTATTTCACATGTCACATCAAACTTTCAAAACTCAATTCCACATATAATTCAAAACTCAATTCAGTACTCTATTCAAAAATCATAACCAAACAAATTTTCTACACTCAAATCATAATTCCACAACTCACAAACTCAAAATACAACTCATACTCTCAAATCATATTTACAAAACTCTACCAAACGCAACCTAAATCTTTTACTTAAAAAAAATCTAAAAATTCCTTAATATACTTTTTCTAAATGTGACAACGTAGCGGATATAATGTAACACTCCAAAAAAATTAAAAACTTTCTAAATGGGACAACGTGGCGAGTATGATGTGACACTCCAAAAACACTAAAAACGTATTAGTGCACTTTTTTCAAACGTGACATATGACACTTAAACGCAGCGGGTATGATATGACACTACAAAAAATTAAAAAATCTTTAATATATTTTTTTCAAATTTGACATTCCAATAGCAGGTATAATGCGACACTAACAAAACTCCTTAGTATACTTTTTGAAATATGACACTTCAATGTGGTGAGTAAATAAGTCATTACACATAAAAAATGACTAAATGGATCATAAGTAAAAAAATATGAGACTATATGAATTATAAGTCTAAAATATGAGACTTATTGGTCAATCTCCCTAAAAATAATCACCCATTACATGATTATCATCCAAATACATAATAAAAATTAATTTGGTAAAAAAATAAATACACGTGTAAAAAATTTATCAATTTTATATAATTTTATCTTTGGTGTATAGAAATAATTTTAAAAATTTAAAAATATTTTTTTGACATTCATTTTTGTCAAATTAGTTTATATTTTATCAAATTGACGACTTTATCCTTGAAATTGAGCAATGGTATATTCAATTGTCCTTATTTGAAATAATATTCAAAATTCAAGGTCAAATGTGTGACAATCAAAAAGTTATGGATTAAAGTGACACAAGTTCCAAACTATAGGGACCTTTAGTGTAATGCGCCCTATAATTTTCATAATGGAGGGAGTCAATTGGGAGGGGGTATTTGGTGTGGCTTATTTTGGTCAACTTATAGATTTTAATTTTGAAAAAATTATTTTGGACTGCTTAGTTAAATTTATTTCAAATAGATTATGATTTTAATAATTTATTTTAACTCAAAAGAACTGATTTTGAAAAGTAGTCTACTCCTTGTTTGTGATTATGAGATTTTGTTGTAGGCATATTAATTTACGATTACACCCTTAGATTTTTTTTAAAAAAATAAAAAATATCAAAATGGACTATGAATTATTATTATTATTATATGAAAATTGTAAACTAGTAGCGAATAAAAAAAATAAAAGTCAATTTAAAAAGCTATTTTACAACTTATTTACCAAATACTACTCCGTAACTTAAATTTATAATTTAGAAACCTCACTAAGTCTTTTTTCGGGATGTGAGTTGACCTTTTGACTTTTCTAGCCTGGGGTTAAAAAGTCTCGTTTGGGATAAGTTTTTTGATTTTTTAAAGTTTTGTGAAAGAAAAAAAATGAAATGATTATGATTTGGATATGACATTTTATCTTATTAATTTTTTAGCATATTTTATCTTTTTGTGACTAAAATAGTCAAAAAAATTATGCCAAACATAATCTAAATAGATTAACAACTTTTTATTAAAGTTATGATTTATAATCTATTAAGGTATAATTTCAACAGTTACACCAACCACTCCCAATGGCCCCGTTTGGTGTAGCTGTTAAAACAGCTTATAGATTATAACTTAACATATTATAGATTATGATTTTAATCAGAAGTTGTTAATCTGTTTGATGTAGCTGTTGGATTATAGATTTAAATTGCTGAGTAGTGTTTGTTAAATAAGCTGTGAAATAACTTTTTCAATTAATTTTTATTTTTTGTTCGTCTACATTTCTCAAAAATAATAATAATAATAATCTATAGTCTATTTTGGTCTTTTTCTATTTTTAAAAAAATAAAAAATAAAAAAATTTAAGAATAGAACCAAAACTTAACATGTCCACAGCAGAAGCTGATAATCAAAAGTAAGGGGTGAGCAGCTTCTCAGAATCAGCTTTTTTGAGTTAAAATAAGCTGTTTGAAATAAGCTGAACTAAATAGTCCAAAATAACTTTTTCAAAGCTAAAAGCCATAAGTTAGCTCTGAAAAGCTGAAACAAACACCCCCAATATATACAAATTCATGAACTAGAGTATAAAATGATGGGTAGTGATAGAGAATTCTAAAACTAGAGCTCTAATATGAGTTCTAGTGATGTGACTCAAAAAAAAAAAAAAAACACACACACAAACCAAAACATTACATCACCATGTGAGACTCACCATTAGAGCTCTCAAATTAGAGCTTCCAAACATTATTGATAAAATGATAATCCCAAATAGTTCTTGTAATCAAGCCTGGCCCTGAGGGCAAGCAAGAGAGGCCTGCGCCTTGAGCCCCCAAATTTGAGTTAAAAATAGAGGAGCCTCAAATATAATTTTGTGTTTTAGATATTAAAAAAAAAAAAACTCAAATACTAAAGGCCCAATTGAACATAGGGTCCAAAAAAATAAAAAATGAAAACACAGTCCACAAATTGAATAGATTAGCTTTGTTATCCATTAAAAATGATATGGTGGATAAATTCGATTATGAAAGCTTCATTACTGATTTTGCAACTAAAAATGTGAGAAGAGTAATATTTATGTGATAGTTGGTTCAATTATAAATTGGATATTGCTAAACTATAGAGCAACAAGATCAGATTTTTTTTTTTTTTGAGTATTTGTAATGATTGTTTCCTATCTTAATATATGAAAGTAAATTTTTATTTATAATTTTAATAATTATACGTGCAAGTAAATTTTTTTTATGACTACGAACAAATAAAAAAGTTATAACTTATCTTTTTATTTATAATTTTTTTTTTCAATGTAAGAGGAGTTTCATTTCCTAAACCTGAGGCCAAAAAATGATGCAGACCACTAATTAGCGGTTGCACTAGGGATGTGGCAGTAGGTCATCCACTGCCACATGTGTTTTGTATCTTAGTTTTTTTTTTTTTTTTACTTGTCACATTATTAGTGGTGGTATTACTGGTAAGAATTTAGTGGTACGTAGCATTGTTGACCTGAGGCCCACCCTGCTTGTAATTAACAATTGAAATCTTGCAAATATTCACTAGTAGCTTGCCACGTAAGCCATTGCAAAGTTAACCCAATATTGCAAAAACAGCATATTCCAATTCACATACGCCAATAGAAGATTCGTTCCCATTATTGTCCGCAAGGGGAAAAAAAGATCCCCAACTCTTTCTCTCTCTGCTCGCCAACGATTAATCCAATCAACGCCATCAATAATACTCTCTCTCTCTCTCTCTCTCTCTCTCTCTCTCTCTATCTATATATATACAGATAGATACAGATTTCTCCTCTCTCCCTACATATATATATATATATACAGAGAGAGATTTGTCTTCTCTCTCTCCATATGGCGCATCAGCTTGCTCAGGCAGAAGTGTGCGTGCCTTGGTCTCTGCAACTATGGAGAGCTCTGGTGAATTGGTTGGCTTTTCTCTTCCAAATCCTTCTCCAGATCTTCACGATCACACCTTCCATGGCTCAGTTTCTCTCTTTCATAGGTTTTCAACACTCTCTTCTCTCTTCTTCTTCACCGTCCTTCAAGCCCTTGCCTGTCGTCGAGCTCCCCCTCGGCGAGCCTCCGCCGTCGCCGCCTACGTTGTCTCCGGCGCACTTTTTCGTTGACAAAGTCGAAAACCACGGCGGCGGCGATGATCACCAAATCGAGAAATTGAAGGTTTGATTTGATGTTGTTGAATTGTAATATTAATGCCTGCAGATCGGTGATTCCGATTTTGAATTTTGAATATCATGTGAATTGGCTGATTATGATTTTTTGGTACTATTGAATTTTGAATTTGTGATTTTGTGTTCGTTTTATGGTTTAGTTTTGAAATTAATTTGGGAGTTATGTGATTAATTTACATTAGCTTAATGTTAATCGTCTATAAATCAAGTACTTTTTAAGTTTGGATTTGGAAATTATTCAAATTGCCCTTTTAAAGTTGTGTTATAATGGTTTAAATGGAGCATCTATTTTGTGCTAATCATTGTTAATCAATTGTGTTCTTGTTGTCCCTTGAAAAATAAAAATAAATAAATAAATGTGTTCTTGTTGTGAGTTGTATCGAGCTGATGAACTTCACCAGTTTAGTGTTTAAATTTTGAGTTTCTACTATCTATATGAAGTTTTTTATTTTTTATTTTTTTGAAAAAATAAATTGCTTTACATATGCCTTCGGTGGTATGTCTTCAAATCTTATGTAGACTAATTATGAAAGATGAATGAAAGTTTTTGCATGAGTGGTTTTCAGGCTCTGATTACATTGACAGATATGAGTTAACTTGAATATATGTCATAATTTCTACTAGAAAATAACATACCTTACGAGACAATCATTAGGTTTCTTTTCTTTTTTCTTTTCACTCATTTGATTGCTACCGCTAAGTGATAACAAAACTATGCATTCAAGTTTTATGGATAACAATGACCAACTTGTTGTGTTGTGTTGTGTTGTGTTGTGTTATATGTTTGTTTTTTTTTTAATAAAAAAATTGACTTGGAACTTGGAAGAGTAACAAAATATGAGTTATAACTTTCAGAAATTTGCTTGAACACTGGAAATTCAGAAAGACTCAACAATTTATAAGGACTCTGTAAGAATCTGAAGCTGAGGGAAAATATTCTGAAGTAAACAAACAAATAATAATAAACCCAAGTGGGGTGCCATGAATGTTTGATCTGTCACTTACATATCAACTTGATTTGTGGACTATCTTAAGAGGTGAAAAAGGCCAAAAACTATTTACATGGATTTGCAAAAAGGAACTGTCTTTTACTTTATATAATTGCATTGTATTTGGAATGTAGATCTTTTAGTTTCTGTTTTAGTCTTTTAGTTTGCAACTATGCACCATATATTTTAGGGCATAAATTCAATATTCCACGTAATTTGTTCAGAAATCCCTTGCATCCAGAAACTTGCACTAAAACAAATTTTGGTTTGATGAATTGATTAGGTTAACTGGATACGATGCACAAGAAATATGGTCTCCTTGTGCACAATAAAGAAGCAGTCCCTAATCAAAATTACAGCACCTATGATATATATAACAAATGAGATAATTTTGTATGTATGCCATGCTTTGATGAAAATACCCCAAACCTATTGAGATTATCCACATGAATCCTTGCCTATATGCTATTTTGCTAAATTTAGGGTTGAACTTAACACAAAAAATTGGTAGCCGCGTGGCCATATGCTATATCTAGAACTATATTCTCCTTAAATTTATTTGCTGAGTTCTCCTAAATCTATTGTTAGAAAAGCTGGATACAGAAAAAATAAATCTCTGTTTGTGCCCTTGGTACAGGTGGTTCTCGACTTAGATGAAACCCTAGTATGTGCCTATGAAACGTCTAGCTTGCCTGCTGCTCTTCGTACTCTGGCAGTAGAAGCAGGACTGAAGTGCTTTGAATTGGAATGTGTATGTTCAGAGGTCAGTCTTGATCACCCTCTCTCTCTCTCTCCTGCTTTGAATTTTTGTTATAATATATTTATTTCTTAGTTAAACAATTATATAATTTGAATATGTTACCAGTTGAAGGAAAGTGATGGAAATCCTAAGGTCAGTTATGTGACAGTCTTTGAGCGGCCAGGTTTACACCAGTTCTTAAAACAGATTGGTGAATTTGCTGATATTGTTCTGTTCACTGCTGGTCTTGAAGGTGTGCATGCTATTCCCAATTTCATGACATAGCTCACCCCCCAGCCCCTTCTCTTCCTGCTACTGCTCTCCGATTTTTTCTCATGTTTATTGCTTATTTTCTTTGTGAGCCACACAGACTATGCCAGACCACTTGTTGACAAAATAGATGTGGAAAAGCAATTTTGCCTTCGTCTATATCGACCTTCAACAGTTAGCACGTAAGTACTGCTTCCACCTGACAATATTTTTGGCTGTAACATCCTGCTACCTGTCAAATAATTGTTGGCTGTGTTATGTGTATCTAATATTGCTATTTGACAAAAAGCTGATGTATGAATCTCTAAAAAACCCATTTTTCCTAAGTTGGTTGAGTGAATAATTGATCTATAAACTTTTGTTGCTGTGGGAAAGAGAGGACTAGAAACAATTGAAAAGGAAGAAAATCTATGAAGAAAGTGAATGGGTGTGGAACCGAGAGAAGGGAGAAAAAAGATTTGGTAATTATGGATGAGCGTCCTTCCTCTCATTCAACATTGTTTCTTCTACAAGGGCTTTTCTTCTGAATTCAGAGGCAAAGTGTCGGGAAACAGATAGACAGGCTTCTGTGACATAGGTTTTGTTTACAAGGTTTCTTTCTTGAGAATTGTTCCGTGCTAAACAAAATTGCAGCACTAGTAAAGCACACCAAAACAACAAAATATCATCCATTAATGCCTACTTTCAGATGCTGCGATTTCCTTTTTATTGGCCTTTTGATCATCCATATGGTAAAGGCTCAAACCAAGCTGTTGAAGACCTTAGGCTTAATTTGTATTCAGTGAGAGTGTTGTGCTCAAGATTCTGCTGACGTTAATTTCAATCTGTGTTCATACAATGGCATCTGGATGGTATATTGTTGAAATTCAAACGAAACCAAACTAAGCATTGTGTCCCAATCAAGCAGGGTCGGCCGCATGAGTCCTTTTTTATGCATCTCTTCTCTCTAGGCATTTGCATCTGGTTGTGTGCATGCAATCTACACAATCTACACATGTACGAATGCATTTATCTGTAGTATTACACATGCGTGCATACAAACAAAATGGAGCCTGTTTTCCACTTTCATTATCAATGTAACTGAACTTTCATTGATTCCAAATATTGTCAAGCTGCATTGATAAAGATTCTTCATTGCATAAATCACAGGGAATATCGAGAACATGTCAAGGATTTGTCTTGTTTATCGAAACAGTTTAGTCGAGTAGTTATTGTTGACAACAACCCATTCAGTTTCTTGTTGCAACCAATGAATGGAATACCATGTGTTCCATTCTCTGCCGAACAACCACAGGATGATCAGGTATATGGTTATTCCAATGCAATGAATTTTTAATTTCTAATGATATTTTCAGTTTATTGTTATTTTTTAATTTATTTTTTTCGGTGTGGCTTATTATGTAGTTATTGGAGGTCATCCTTCCTTTCCTCAGACAGCTATCTCTTCAGAAAGATGTCCAGCCTGTACTCTATGAAAAGTTCCACATGCCCGAGTGGTTTCAATTGCACGGAATTCCTGCATCCAACTTGAGGGTGTGAGACAAACATTAGTAACGACAAGCAGTGAATGTTCTCAAGCAACCGAGCTGGTCTGCGTCGTTGCGTTTATCTGGCAAGCGTCACATGTTATTGCTGAGTAAAGGGTTCTCCACTGACCAAAATTCTTTAATTTCACTGCAAGGTTCACTTCAATTCATTTCGTCCTAATTTGGTATGGTGAATGCAGAAAAGGTTTTGGAATAGTTGTCAAAATTTATCGGTGCCTGTCCAGGAAGGTGTATTTTGATTTGTGAAATTTATATAATTTTTTTTATCACCATCTCATCATGTGTTTGTATTGATTCATGTTTTGGATTTGATAGTGCTAGTCAAGTATTGAGGCCTCATAATCATGTGTTTGTTTGTGTTTTAAATTTAAACACAATTAAGGGATTATTTTTATAAAAAAAATTAATTTACATAATCTAATGGATTAGATTAGAGACCTCAATTTCAATCATGTAATGGAACTTATCTAAATCCAACAATTATATTCATTAAAAAAGTAAGCCCATAATCTGGAACAAGAATTTGGATGCATTGTATCATTTTATTTTTTACTTCTAAAAAATAAATGGCAAGTATTTTTTTAAACATAATTTGTCTATTTTTTTAAAGATAATATAATAAAATTATGTAATTACAATTACCAATCCAATCAATTTTACCTCTTTCATAAATAATCTGTACGAAAGAGTGGGCAAGGTAAACATTTATGTCACAAACTCAGAGTAGGGGTGTATTTGCAACTAGTTCTACAAATTCATGGTTAAAATGTAAAATTACAAAATAAGTAGTAGTAACATACAAATACACTTTAAATATGGGTGCAAAAATTCCAATATTGAAAATCGGTTAAAGATAAGGAGAGAGAGGAAGAGAGAGAAAGAGAGAGAGATGGCAATTCAACTGATACAGTTCCACACCTTAACTCATGACACCCAACCAAAGCCACCCCTCTCCACCACCACCACCAATCACCACCGGTTATCATCTCTACAAGTAAATGCAGTTTCCGGGAAAGCCCAACAACTCTTACAGTCCGGCACGGTCCGGCCCATAAGGCCCAAAGATGCAGCCTCAGCCATGGAGTCTGAAGGCTACATATTACTGGACATAAGGCCTGAGTGGGAGAGAGAGAAGGCACGTGTGAAAGGGTCACTGCACGTGCCACTCTTTGTCAAGGACATGGACAATAGTCTTCTAACTCTGCTGAAGAAGTGGGTTCATTTTGGGTACATTGGGTTATGGACTGGCCAAAATTTCACAATGATAAATCCAGAGTTTGTTGAGAAAGTGGAAATGGAGGTCCCTGATAAGGACACTAAGCTCCTTGTAGCTTGTGGTGAAGGACTTAGGCGAGACAACTTGATTTGCTCTTTCTTTTTTCCTCTTTTTTTTTTTGGGGGGGTTGAGTATTTAATCTTGAATGCCTTTTTTTATTTCAAGAATCTTATAGTATGTTAATAAATAGACAAAGACTTGTATCTTAATTATTGTGTGTGTCTTAATTTCAATTTAGATTATGCTTATTACACATTGGAGATCTGCACAGCCTGATTAATTATCTGACCCATTATTTGTATTTAGGTATATTTTTGGACCCGATTTGTTTTTTAATTTTTATATACTAGCTTATTTTAGGTTTTAAGATTATGATTATATTGTGAGTTTCTGTAAAAGGGATGTTGAGAGGGAGAGAGTCAACTTATTATAATCTTTACATTCATAAGGAATCTCTTCATAAACATAGTCTTTAGCCGAACTACGTAAATTTTTTTGTGTTTGTATGTGTTGTATTTTTAACTTTTCTCATCTTCCTCTTTTCCATAACATAAACATCAATTTTGACTTCAAACATGATCCTCAACCTGTGGATGCACTAAAATTCTTGAGAAATTTCCATATTATATATTTTGCAGCCTAATTTCTATTTATAGTTATTTTTCTATAAAATTTTTGCTTTTCAAACTCAACCTATTAACTTTGAGGCTGTGGGTTCGAACTTAAAAGACAATACTTTGTACATATTTATGTCGAAGGTTAAGTATGCCTCAATCTACCACTCTCAGACTTCATCAAATGAAGACTAAAATGAATGTACTTTTTCACTTCAGAATTTCTGCATTTAAATGAAATTATTGATACTAGGATAAAGGATCTTCTATCATATATATATATATATATATTTTTTTTGGCAGCTCTTTTTAATCATAACAATACACGTCAGCAAAGTATTTACTATAATCAAAATATTGAGATTCAGTTGTTGCTCGTACAGGTCTATAATGGCGGTTTCAAAACTGCACGAAGGAGGATATGGGAACTTGGGATGGTTGGCTGGAGGATTCAATCGTGCCGGAGAAGATGATTTCCCCAATGTTGAAGGGACTGAAAAATTGCAGTATGCCACAATAGGGGGGGTGTCCTATTACTTCCTTCAATTGCTTGTATTGTTACAAGCTGTGGGAAACAAGGCTTAAACCTTCTGATGGTGGCTGTGATTAGTTTCTCATCATATTTTGTTTTGTTTCTGGTGTGTCCTTGTCCATTTAAGCAGAAGAAGGTAATAATGCATTTTGAGCATACAAATTCAGCTGATTATCCAAGTATTCCTGTCCACATGTTTAGCTTATGTGATTTGAGGAACATAGACACTATGCAACCTAGAAAAAACTCAAAAAAGTGTCCAAAAATTTGAATCTATGATGTAGATTTAAACTTGGATGGTGTATGCCACATCCCAAAAAAAATATGATTATACATTCCAAATTCTAGATTATTTTTCTGGGTACGTAATATTGTTTTCGTTTTATCTGATTTTGAAAGATTCTGGGTAACACTTCCGCCACTACCCAATAAAGAGAGGGTTATTTTTTCAAAGGCCATATGAAACACAGTTCATTTTATTGCTTTTAGAAGAAATCTAAGAACACAGAAATCGATTAGAGGACTGGACATAACTCTGTCACATGGGAACTGAGCCAATTCTATGATCGAATTTTGTACAAGTCAAAAAATTGTTGCTTTTCTGGTCATTGGATACAAATCACATGACAAGTTAAATCAAACTTAAACAAGAAGAATAGAGAATGCATACAAGTTGCAACAGCAAAGATGATAAAATGTAAAAATTCAAGCATAACACCAGTATCCCAAGGTTCAGCTTTTTGTACAGTAAACATTAACTACTTGCACAAGATGAAAGGTGCTAAAGATCAGACAACAATGATAGTTTTATGAATTTCTCGACAAATTGTTGCAGCAGCAACAATTAGGTGATGTAGAAAACAACTGAATAGATACAAACCAAAGATGGAGCTGAACAAGAGATGATTTTTTACAGGCAGAGAAACATCAGACGAATTCAAAACGCACGAGTAGCTTCACAGACCTGTACTTTTCTCCCTTCTGGTTATAGAGTGGTACAGCTCGAATCCCTGTTCGCAACTCTGAAACAGGAAGGCATGTTTGGCCTCCAAAATCATCCTGGTCAGACATGTCATACTCATGAACTTCAATCCGAAGCAAAGCCAGCTCTGGAACCGTCAATGGAAATTCAAACTCCTCTTCCCATGTTGGTATCCAATTATCTTCAATCGCCTTTGTTTTCTTCATACCTGAATCAGCTGGCACTCCAGCAATTCCAACCTGCTTGGCAAACCATTTAGTCACACAATCACAAGAGAGAGAGAGAGAGTAAAAACAAATCTTTTTGAGCATCATTTCCTTATCCCTATTACTCTAACGCAGAGTTTGTTTAGGATAAAAGTGATGGAAAGTGCAGGAATAAGAAAAAATGAAAACATTTTCCGTGTTTGTGTAAGCATTGGAGTGGTGAAAAATTCAAGAAACGAAAAATTCTTGTACAACCCATATCAGCTGGTAACTTGGCTTCCACTTTCTTGCAAAAACTACAATAAAAATATTCTCATGAAGTAGCCAACTGGTATAACTTTCTCACAAAAAAGTCATATAAAACAAAAGCATACTAGAAAATAAATTTTTCTTTCATTTTCCATCATGACAATTTCAGTGATCTTTACGAGAAGAGGGTGAACAGAAAATTTAGCAGGAAGATCTTTTTTGAGGCACACCTTTACATAGAAGTCAGGTGGGGAATATAAGTCAAAGTGTGTGCGATGGAAATCCAAATACCAGCCTTGACCCATATATATTTTCACCTGTGTGGCAACATCAAAGCTAAGTCAAAAGGCACTTTCAATGGCTTATATAAATTGAAAGAAAATGGGTAAAAGTTTCTCCCACCTTAAGAGTTTTCTTCACTGGTAATTTCTTTTTAGGATCAAATACCTCATCATCAGGACCAACTTTCAGTAAAATATCTGGTTTTTTCACATATCCACACCCACCATTGCCTCGGAACAATCCTTGCATCAACCAAAGTGACCTGCCATGACCCTGTTATCCAAACATAATTACAGTTAGTACAATAAAATTGATGGCATGTTAATGTACCCTACCTAAAATCATAGAAGATAAGGTGAAAAAACTAATAGGTACTTAACGTTCCGTCAAAATAAATGATTATTTCCACGTATGAGTTCAATTTCAGGAATTCACCGCCTTTGGATGCCAGCTTAAAGTTGTCTCTCTTTTTTCCGTTTTTTTTCTTTTGTCTTTTTAAAATCATCTTTGGTGAAGTTTTTAAGCCTTTTGAAATCCGTGCATCAACCTACAGCAACGTCAACTTTGAATTCTAGCTAATTTAAGCCTTTTTCCTTCTATGAACCCTTGAATTTCTATTCTACCTTTTAAACCCTAATCCTAAATGATTTTCGAAAGCTAAATCTGCCACAAATCCAATTTTATATAGCCTTCAAATTTCCTGAAGTTGTCCTATATCATGGATACTTGATAATTTCTGTAAGTAGTCAACTACTGCTTCCATGTCCCTGCATTTTTTTTATTATACAAATGCTAGGAGGAAGCCAACTACATTGTATATTGCATACACTACAATACAAAAACTAATATAGAAGGGAAAAACGTAACTTATGTTAATTACAAGTTTCTTTCAGAAGTGTCTTGTCCAAGAATGTAACTTAATTTAATGCATTGAATTTTGCTGTCACAAAATCAGGAATATTCATTAACATAGTGTTCAATATCATATCAAATTCCTATTTTTACTTAGGTTCCCTATTTACATAGCTATTATTTTCACAATGACTTTGTTGATGTTAGATATACTGTATCTTTTTTATGGGCACACTTCATAGCAAAACAATTCCAAATTATTCACCCAAAAAACAATTCCAAATATCTTTGAAAGCATAATGATGTAGAATTAGAGACATTATGGTAATTAAACCTGCATATTAAATGCGACCATCTGAGCTCCATGCGTCCACCCAATTAATGGATTGTAATTTGATGAATCAAACCGCGTACCTTTTGGATATACCCTCAATATATTTCTCTGGGTAAACCTACAAGAAACCAGTCACCAGGGGTTGGAAACAGAAGAATACGAGACTTGGTAACAATTCGTCATGAAGGTTTTTAATCATATTGCTGTTGAACAAGAAATCAAGAAAAGATAAAGCTAACTAAAATGTAAATTCCCTTAGGATATGTAGACCTCTTGTTTACTAGCGGACACCAAATTCATAAAATAACTTGGAGTCACAATGGGGTTAATTTTTTTTTTTTTTTTTTTTTTGTTGAAAGAATTGAGACCTTCTAAATTTGTGATTCAACACAGCATGTGTTGTATCAATATCCCAGTTTAGAGCAAGAACAGTAAGACTAGTGATTCATAAATATTTGAAGTGCTAAAATTCCCGGTTGGTTCTGTATTTTTAATTTTTTTTAATCGTGTTTTTCTAAATAAAGCAATGAAAAGTTTGAAAACAGACATCATTTTCATTTTTGTGCGAAAACAGTTTTTTTTTTTAAATTTGAAATCAACTTTTTGGTGTTTCCTAAAAGCTGGGGATTTTTTATAGGATTTTTTTCAAAAAAGGTTTCTGGAAACAATTAGCCAAACAAATGTTCACAGAAGGGACAATCAACTTTAGACAATTAGGAGAATATTTATACTTCCTGATGACAAAATGCTTGACTCAACTATAAATCTAAGACTTTGTGCAAAATAATTTGATAGATTTTAATGCTACAAATAATCACAAGAGACAATAAATATATATAATGTTACTGAAATGAGAAAAAAAAAAAAAACCTTAAAAGTTTCTTAACAATTACCTGACAATATCTGTTCCATTAGTGTTGACAGTCTTTTCCAGCTTTTGTTCATTTAAGCTAATACGTCTAACCTTATCAGTATCCACTCTTAGCCATTCTTTAATCTCGCCTTTCGCCTTGCCAGCATGAATAGTAATCAAACGCTTATATTCTGGTGCAGTATTCTGCTGCAACTTGTGATCCCCGTCATCAACACATTCTTCATCTGGACACTCTGCATCCTCTGTGTCATTCTTTCCCATATGGTAATGTAATTAATTCAGCAATCATAGGACAAAACTTGATTTGCTCAACAGAAATGCTATGTACCCAGAAAAAACACATACCCCGAAAATTGCCTAGAATTTGAATCTATGGTGTAGATATAGACTTGATGTATTTACTCGATAAACAAATATAATAGTTTCATCTAAAGTTTAGCCAGAACACAAGTTATTGACAAGGTACCTTATCAAAGTCTTCAACTTTATCTTTGAACTCAAGAACTTCCTCTCCCCAAGCTCCTTCCTCAGACGAATCCTTTGACTTCTTTGAATCATTGTTGTTCTTTGAATCATTGCTGTTCTCCTTAACACTACTCTTACTTTCAAGATATTCTTTTGGTGGTTTAGTTGAGATAATAATTCGTTTCTTCAATGATTCCGGTGAAGGGAATTCCAATAAGCATTCTGACCCAGGGGAAAACAGTATATCTCCAAATGTTTGAGTGACCATCTATGAAATGGAATTCATTTGCAGTCACAAGAATGAAAACTTTTCCAACCATGACAAAAGGCTCGTGCTTGAAATAAAAGCATAAACTCACCTCGGCAACTTTAGCCTGAAGATTCGGTGTAAGATGGTCTTCTAGAGTTATTATGAGAGGATATTCAGATGCAACAAAGGCATATTCCCTGATAGATCTCAAGCACTTGATGAGTTCCACTGGGTTAGTAAGTGTCCTACATAAATAAAGAAAGTTTGTCATTACTAGTATAAAGTTAAGTAGTTTGAAATCAATCTCTTTCGCTTGCTCTTTGTTCATTCTTGGCATATCTTGAAAAAAGTCTCTCTTCTCTTCTCCTCAGCATGTATATTTTATTCACATATCTCTTCTAAACTCTGCTGGATATTTCACCATTTAAATCAAAAACATGTAAAAAACACACACACACACACAATTTACCTTCCATGAAGAATATCAATATTATCTTTGGTGGAATTCGGCCACATATCAAGTTCAATTACTCTTACACCTCTCTGCAAAGCTTCTATGATGGGCACATCGCTACAGTCGCTGCTGAGCTGATTTCCCGTTAGGTAGGAATTATGTCCCGTAAATATGAAATAATGGGACAAGGGCGCAGTCATATCATGGTGCACCTGAAACAAAAGAAACAGAACACAAAAAATGTGGTTAGTGATAAAATTTTGAGCATAACAAACATGTACTTTAAAAATAATCACAAGATCAAATGCAAAGAAACCTTGTCATTTGCAGATTTGTCGGGTCATGAAGGTCACAAGCAAAATTTAGATTGAATTCAAGACACAGTCACAACATATATATATACAGTGTCATTGGCACTTGTATGATAAAGGCCCTTCAACACCAAAACCTTGGGTGCACAATATGGTATAATGAGATAGTTTGCCCCAAGTGGTAACTATTAATTACTTTCTTTTTTCTTTTCTTTTTTAAAAAAAAGATCTTTTATAGCTATGAAGTAACTTTTGTTACTACAAATTGAAGGTAAAACGTAAGGTCACTTTCCTTTTCCAAAATTACTTCTCGCAAGGTCTTGTTTTTTAACCTTCAATAGTGTTCAATAATTTTAATCTCCATGTATAAATGTAATGTGCATATCATACATACATCATGAAAATTAGGAGAGTGTGCGGTGCGGTGCGGTGCAGTGTGGTTTGAAAATAAAATTAAAACCAAACTATGGATAGCGGATTAAAGAAAAACCTTAAACAATTATCACATATTTGCATAATATAACTAATTTGCATAGTATTTTTCATATATATAACACTAATTTGCACCAAATTTCACATGTCAGACCTCTCTCATACTAATTTTTACTTTGATATTTCATTGGAATTAAAAAATAAGTGTATCAACTATGGCGGGGCAAGCCAGTCTTGAAAGTGGATTATAAATTTCAAACCGCTGATCAAACAACCCATGGTTAGCAAGCGGATCAGTACGGATTGAGCAATATTTTGCAGAGCCCTAATGAAAATTACAATTGCAGAGCCCTAGAAAAAGTTAAGTACAACAAAAAACAACAGGACTTAAACCTCATGGCAGCTTACGTGAGCAGAGCCACCATGCTGGTGCGGCAGATTTGTATAAATATATATATATATATAGGCACGAATCCACAGCCTTGTTGGTTGCATTAAAGTAATATAAAAAATAAACCAATTTACTCAAATTTAAATTGTACCCAACTTATTTTAACAGTTAAACTTAAATATATTTTAGATTTCGTTAATCATTTTTTCCAGATCAGCACATAATAAAAAAAAAATATCAATTTACTTAAATTTAACTAAATTGAAGCTCATTTGAGATCTGACTTAATCAATAAGCAACTCAAGCTTAAATACAGTTTAAATACCGTCAAGTTTTTTAAATCAAATTTCAACAATCTACTATTAAAATTTAACTAAATTAAAGTTCGTTTGAGATTGACTTGAACAGTAAACAAGTAAAGCTTAAATACATTTTCAGCGTCCTTAAAATTTTCAAATTCTCAACTCAAACACTATATACTATTTCTCTGAAATGGATCTGACTCGAGCGGTTACGAAAGCGAGAAAGATTAAGAATGATTTTGTTTGAATTACCTTAGGAGAAGGAGAGAGAGGAGGATTAGAGTCGCTGAAGAGGTAGTGAAAGAAGGCTTCGAGATGGAGACCTTTGCGATGGAAGATATTGAGGTGTTTGAGTTCATTGAGAGACTCCATGATCGACTCTGCGTGTTCTTTTGTGGCTTTATCTTCTCCCTCAGCCTCCATCAAGAACCTGTGAAGGTGATCGACGGTCATGATTCCATTTTCGGAGTAACGGTCGAAGAGGTCTCTGATCTCCGCTGGCGCTTCGGCTACTGTCAGCTTGAACCTTCGCGTGAAACAGAAGCACACTCTGTATGTTTGCTTCGACATGTTAGAGAGAGAGTGAGTGTGAGTGTGAGTGTGAGTGTGAGTGTGATAAAAGATGAGTGTTTCTACGTTGAGACTTTTTTAAAAAGAGAAGAAGACGAGACATGGCTAGTTATGGTGGTGTTGGCTAGAGAGAGAGGGAGAGAGGAGAGAGAGAGTAGATGAGGGCGAATTGAGACCTCGTTTCACAAGAGGCTATTTTAGTTAATTAGTCAAAAAGTTATTAAATTAGTCAAAAAGTCAATCACTCATACTAAAATGTTAAAGATTCTCTTTTCTCTTTATTTTTTACACATCTTTTCGTAATTAACTAAAAAATCATCTCAAACATACAAATTTTTTTTACCTATATTTTTAACTAAATAGTCAAAAAATTATTAAATTAACCTGTTCCCAAACAAGACCGGAATAAAACTTCCGACCCCTGCTGCTGGGGTCGTGCGTTTCGAGTCCAGATTGGCCAAAAAAAAAAAAAAATTTATTTATTATTATTTTTTTTTATCCAGCGAATGGCTTGGGAGTCGGACTCCCACGGGAGGTCTCAAGCAAGGTTCGGGCCAATTAGCTATCATTTTAGTGCTCTCACTGCAGGATTGGAAATTATTCGATATTCACATATTTCTTGATTATTATTTAATATTTTTTTTCATATTTTTTAATCACTTAACATAATATTTCACATATTCACTTTGTCTACTAATCATAACATTATAAGAGAGAGAGACAGAGAGAGAGGAGAGAGAAGATGAGGGCCCATTGAGACCTCGTTTCGCAAGTGGTTATTTTAGTCAATTAGTCAAAAAGTTATTAAATTAGTTAAAAAGTCAATAATTCATACTAAAAAGTCAAAAGATTCTCTTTTCTCTCTACTTTTTATACATCTTTTCATAATTAGTCAAAAAATTATCTCAAACATATAAATTTTTTTTATCTACCTTTTTTAACTAAATAGTCAAAAAATTACTAAATTAGCATGTTCCCAAACGAGGCCTGAATAAAGCTTCCGACCCCCTGGTGCTGGGGTCGTGCGTGTCGAGTCCGAATTGGCACAAAAAAAAAATTATTTATTATTATTTTTTTTTATCCAGCGAATGGCTTGGGAGTCGGACTCCCACTGGAGTTCTCAAGCAAGGTTCGGGCCAATTAGCTATCATTTTAGTGCTCTCACTGCAGGATTGGAAATTATTCGATATTCACATATTTCTTGATTATTATTTAATATTTTTTTTCATATTTTTTAATCACTTAACATAATATTTCACATATTCACTTTGTCTACTCCCACGGGAGGTCTCAAGCAAGGTTCGGGCCAATTAGCTATCATTTTAGTGCTCTCACTGCAGGATTGGAAATTATTCGATATTCACATATTTCTTGATTATTATTTAATATTTTTTTTCATATTTTTTAATCACTTAACATAATATTTCACATATTCACTTTGTCTACTAATCATAACATTATAAAATGTCATATATCTATATTCTAAAATTACTAAATAATTACCATGCAAAATGATGCTTGTTTAGTTCTAAGTGGAAAATTAAAAAACGAAAGTGAAGTTATTAAATATTCTTGAAATATCACGTATTTAAATTCTTTAACTAATTATTATTTAATATGATCACTGTTAATCATTTCAAATATGTCACGTGTAGATAATTAATCCAAATTATAATAAATATTTTTGACATTGTTTTAAAATATGAATTCTACATATAATTTTAAAAATTACATCTCGTCAATAAATGACTCTTTTTTATTAAGTTAATTAATAATTTTTAATTGACATGATATCTCTACAGATGCTATGATATCTCCTGGAAATGTCTTTTTTTTTAATCAAAAAAAAAAAAGTTTTTAATGACATCAACAATATATTTTAATTAACAATTTAATAATTTTATTATTATATAAGAGAGTAATTAAAAAATTAATTTTTCTATTCTTTTTGTTAAATAAATTTTTTTAAGAAATAGATATTTATAATTTTTAAAATCACAAAGGGCAAATTATATTTTAAATAAATTTTATATATGTATTTATATTTTGCCCTATATTTAATTAATTAGGGTCTCATGTGAAAGAATTGTTTTTGTGATTGAATTATCTGTATTTATTTATTTTTAACTACTTAATAGTTTTAGAATGTTATGTAGTATTCTCAATTAATTATGTAGTGGAAAATATTAGAGATAAGATAATGTTGATTAATAACGTTATAGACTCACATTTTACACTCACGCATTTACAATGATATGACAGGGGTGGTAGGTCCCATATTATTGAATTTATAACTAATCAAAAATTAACACTTATCAAATCAAATAATTTTGAGTTGAATTGTGGAAGATTAATGGGAGTTTCAAACATTTTTCAATATTGATTTACTTTTGACAAGTAATAAAAAAAATAATTGTTAAATTTATTTAGTGTGTTTTATGATTGGGAATGGTTTCCCTCCAGTCCAATCATGGATTGAAAAATACTGTTCGGTCTGTGGAGGCTCACCACGGGTCCCGTTTCGATAATCTGAATTGTTAATGTGTAGAACTTGTCGAGTATTATATGCCTGTAAAAAATGACATTGATCGGATATCGATAGTTATGTGATCAAATTAGTTTTGTTTGAAAAAAATAGACGGTGAAAAATAAACGACTTATAAAAATCTGATTTGATCACATAATTATCGATATCCTATCAACTTAATTTTTTATAAATATATAGTACTCGATGAGTTCTACACATTGAACAGTTCGGATTATCGAAATGGGACCCGTGGTAGGCGCCTACCGGCTCAACAATACTCTCTAATTCGATTACGGACCGGAGGAAAGTCATTCCCTTTATGATTCTTCGTTTGCCGGGAATATCACACGTAGACAATAATTAGAATACATATTACTTAAGGATTTGTTAGAAAAAAATATAATTATTAATAGAGTGATGGATCTTGTTTAAAATATGATGGATTCCATTTGAAGTATAGGATTTTTCTTTTATAAAAGTGTTTTGTTCCCACTATCAAGTGTGTAAATAAAATTAGAATTGAAATAATTATGATATAGTCAATGTGCAGCAACACCCGAAGTAATAAAAGAAAAAAAAAAAACAAAAACAAATAAACAAAAATATTATGTACCATGAATATAAAATTAGTGAAATGTAAGTCACATTTAGAATGTTTGTGATTCATAAATAAATTTTTTGAACATATATAGTAATATCGAGAAAGAAAAAAAAATTGCATAAAAAACACAAAATGCCTCACAATGAAGCGTGAGCCTCATTCATTTGTGAGATATTGTCTTTTTTCTGCACATACATGTAAAAGTCTATATAGCAAAAAAAATTATAATTATAATTAAAATTATAATTTCAATATGATATCTCACCTTCTAATAATGGGAAATGTTAAGAATATTCATAATTTTATTAAACACAATCACAAGCTTTGTGTTGATTTTACGCAAAGTGATAGTGGGTCTCAACGAAACTTGTCCCTAATTTTAGCTCATATATAATTTTATATGTACTTAAATTAGGGTTGGTTTGGCATAGACTATATAATCCATCTTTTTATCTTTTTATTTTTTTTCTATCATATCACTCTCTACTTTTCTGTACATCTTTTCGTAAAAAGACAAAAAGTACACTTTTTTAAGACACCTCAAACTAACCCTTAATAATGTTTAAAATTTAATTTAACGAGTAAAAATATTGTTTTAAAATTTGAAGAATATAAAAAAAATAGGAAATCATGTAAGCATGCTTATCTCACGTGTTAAATGGCTCCATCATCAATAACAGCAACAAGAGTAATAGTAAAATTTGAAGGATATAAAAAATGGGAAATCATGTAAGCATGCTTATCTCGTGTGTTAAATATGGCCCAACAGGAGTGAAAGAGATACCACACTTTCACAATGGATATTTTGTCCTTGTCTTTTTGACTTTTCCAAACCATCTTTAATGATTCTATCGGAGAGCCATGTACCAAAAATGAGGATCACCACCACCACTCACTACACAAAGCTGAGGCTTCACGTCGGCTAGAGGTCTAAGTCAAGTCTGGCCGACATACCAACAAAAAAATGGTGGGTGGGCGGGGATTTTTATACCAAAAAGCGTAGTTTTTTTAATTTTTTATGATTGAATGTCAGGATTAATTTATATATATTTTGATTAATTTTGAGTTAGAACAAACCCTTTATATAAATTATTACATCAAGTGAGGCCTATCATGGCGTGAGTCTCCTTATGAATCTGAGGTATTCATTTTGTAACACTCTATATATATTATTTATGAAAAAAATTAAATTAATTTAATAATAATAATTTTTTATTTTATTATATTTATTTCTAAAAAATAGATGATTTATTTTTTTAAAAATGTACTTATTTTCTACTTTTTTGAAAATAAACGTAATAAAATAAAAACATTATAATTATCAGATAGATTTAGTTTTTTTTTTTTTTATGAATGATACAAATCATTCGAATCATCAAAATATGACCCATACTGGGATCTGATGAGCTCCAATCCAGAAAGATTCTCCAGGCACTATCCTGTTTATTATTCTCCAAAAATTCACTCAAATACAACTGGGGAAAGCAAAGAAGATGCAGCACAAACTTGATTCACAAACCATCTTTCTGTTTTCTGGAAATAAATAAAGCAGTTTATCTGCTCCATAACTATGACTAATTGTAGATTAAAAAATAAAAATACAAGATTTAAATCTTTAGTCTCTATCATCAACGCATGACAACTTGCACCAAACCCATAACAACAATACCTAATCAAATATCAAAATTATCATCACAAAACTTTAAACGTAACTAGTCACTAGTCAGTGATGTAACCCAACCTGGACCATCTAGCAATTATACCTCACTTTAAAAACGTTGAAAACTACAGGAAAAACATGAAACCTCTTCTTCCAAAGCCACAGCAACCCCACATTGAGCCCATCTTTGACATATCATCATATCTACCTGCAAATAAAGTTAAATAACAATGGAAATTATCATCATAAATATTACCAATTCCTTTATTACGCACACCAACTCCGTGCATTGAATAGCTAACGCCAAAGTTAAGGCAACCGATCAGTGGTGGAGCCAGAT